TTTCCTGATCCTGGTAGAGTAGACTACAATGCCGGCTGTTCTGACTCACAGACTTTTATATTTTTATATTAACGTTTTTTATATTTAAAGAGTTTTTATATTTTATATTTTTTTATATTTAAAGCGAGTTTTTTGGGCAGTGTAGAGTAGGGCTTATTGTTTGTAATTTCTCCGATCACAAATGCAGAGATGGTTTTATGTTTACGCGGCGCGATGCAACGCAACGCATAAAAAGACAGTATAAGTCATTATAACTCATAATTATGTCCCCACTGAATGCAACGAATGCCTAGTTTATAATGGGTTTTCATGTTTTTGAATCATCGCTCCGGCCTGACAGGGCATCATCACAATATGGTGAGGGGCGTAACATTTCCGTCACACGCTTGAGGTATTCGGCCAATCACAGCACACCTCGCTTTTCAGATGATGAGCTTTGTAAAAATCTATACGTTTCAGAAAGGCGGAGCATAGAGGAGAAACAATAATGTACAGTATGTGGAAAATAATGTTTTCTGAACCTTAAACCGCATAAACACATTTCACTACACCAAATACACAAAATAATGTTCTTTTTAGCAACATCATATGACCCCTTTAAACTGAATTAATGAAAATCAATTTTCAACTGTACATTTATGTATACAGGTTAACAAATGTGATTATGATGTGATGGTTTTAGGTGTGCAGTGAACGCCACGCCGCAGAAAATGTCAGATGCAGCTGGAGAGGTGGAGAGGTTTATGGGTAATATAGCAGCCAATAGGAAGGAGCGCAAACCTGTCAGACCAACCGTCGTGGAGGTGAGACGCCACACTTTTCTTTTTAGAAGACACGATAGTTCACAGTGAATTAAGCTGTTTTGTTTGTTTTTCCCCTCATAGAGAGCGTTAGATCCTCAAGCTGCATCATCTGCCAGTCGTAAACTTATCTCAGTATGTAAGTTTGTACAACATTACAGAAGCATTTTTGCAGGTTTGATTGATCTGTAGCGTTCTCACCGGTCTCCCTCTTCATCCTGCCAGGAGCCTCATTTTAAACCCTGTCAGATGAAGACGTATTTCCAGCTTCCATTTAATGTGAACTTTGTCAGTGAGTGTGTGCGGACGGTCCCATTCTCACACGCCGATTACGCCAGGTACAACAAACACACTCTTGGAAAATAATGTTTGCCCACTTAGGGCTATTTAATTTGAGGAAAGAAATCTAAAAAACTAAATATATATATATATATATATATGTGTATGTATGTGTGTATATATATATTGTTTTTTTTGTGCCCCAGGTTTGCTGTGCTTGTCTGTATGGCTGCACAGTTCAGCCAACATATTTGTTTTTATATTCATGAATAATAAATAGGATAATACAATTTTTTTTAAACAAAATATTACTAGAAATATTACTGATACTATATTTTATTTTAAAATAAAACAGAATATTTAAGAAAAATATAATCATAAAAATACATTTTAAAAAAACAATAATAAAAAATATATTTTACAGTTCAGCTGCTTTTATTTTGGCAAAAACCACAGGAAATGCCGAAAGCTTTCTTTTTTTGTTGACAGCAGCTGGTTTATAAGTGCTTCTTATGGCAAATTTATGCGCATGTATTTATTGAATTAAATCACAATACAGATTTATTTTGATTTAATCATGCAGCCCTTCGCTTATTCGCAGTTTGTCATCTTTCGTTCTCTCTCAGTCTATGTATTTTAGCAAAGGAGCCTCATGTTAAAGACGTATTTCCAGCTTCCGTTTAATGTGAACTTTGTCAGTGAGTGTGTGCGGACGGTCCCATTCTCACACGCCGATTACGCCAGGTACAACAAACACACTCTTGGAAAATAATGTTTGCCCACTTAGGGCTATTTAATTTGAGGAAAGAAATCTAAAAAACTAAATATATATATATATATATATATGTGTATGTATGTGTGTATATATATATTGTTTTTTTTGTGCCCCAGGTTTGCTGTGCTTGTCTGTATGGCTGCACAGTTCAGCCAACATATTTGTTTTTATATTCATGAATAATAAATAGGATAATACAATTTTTTTTAAACAAAATATTACTAGAAATATTACTGATACTATATTTTATTTTAAAATAAAACAGAATATTTAAGAAAAATATAATCATAAAAATACATTTTAAAAAAACAATAATAAAAAATATATTTTACAGTTCAGCTGCTTTTATTTTGGCAAAAACCACAGGAAATGCCGAAAGCTTTCTTTTTTTGTTGACAGCAGCTGGTTTATAAGTGCTTCTTATGGCAAATTTATGCGCATGTATTTATTGAATTAAATCACAATACAGATTTATTTTGATTTAATCATGCAGCCCTTCGCTTATTCGCAGTTTGTCATCTTTCGTTCTCTCTCAGTCTATGTATTTTAGCAAGGATGATGACTACTAAATTCCTGCATGGAGAGATCAGAGAAAAGGGTGGGGCTTATGAAGGCGGAGCTACAATGGGAGGAGGTGGCCTGTTCTCATTTTATTCCGATAGGTACCTACATCGTTTCATTGGATCAAATACAATGTATCCATTAGTGTATATTTGCATCATATATAATGATGTTTATGTGCCAGCTTGATCATGTTTTATTGTCACGGCAATTTCTCAGAGATCCAAACTCCACCCAGACGTTGTCGGCTTTCCGTGGCGGAGTAGAGTGGGCACGAGCAGGAAAGTTTACCCAGCAGGACATCGATGAGGCCAAGCTCTCGGTTTTCTCAGCCGTTGATGCACCTGTCGCCCCCTCAGATAAGGGTCAGTAATGTGGACTGTATCTTGGGATACTGAGTGACATTCTAACCCATCTGTGTATTATTATTATTATTATTATTATTCATGTTGTTTTAGGTTTCCAAGTGATTCTCAAACTTTTTTTTTTCCCAGCTAAACTGCTTTGATCTAAAATATTTAACTGAAGTACCACCTAAAATTTAAGTAAATATTTAACAATATATTAATTTAAAAGGTAAAAATAATAAATTAATTAAAATTAGTTTGACATTTTTGATTAATTATTAGCTTTTCTTGGGAAACCCTGGTTTAGATATTAGTGGATGTTTTGTGCGATTGTTGTTTACAATTTGGGAAGTGTAGGAGTGTTTAAATGTTCAGCTGTTTGGATGCTGTTGGATATTTGCTCTCTAGTTCACAAGGACCTTGTTATTGTGCTGTAGGTTTGGGGCATTTTTTAAACGGCATTACAGATGAGATAAAACAAAGATACAGAGAGAGACTGTTCGCTGTGACCGATAAAAACCTAATTGACGTCGCTGGCAGGTAACAAAACATTTAAATGTATATAATATAAATATCTAATAAAATTACAAATATAAAATAATAAAAAATATTTATTATTGAGTGCTGGTGCTTTATTTGTATAATTTTTTTTTTTTTTTGTGAAACCAGGTATCTGGGTGTCGGTCAGCAGACATGTGGAGTGGCTATTTTAGGCCCGGAAAATGAAAGCATCAGAAAAGACCCATCCTGGGTGGTCAAATAGATGTTTTTTCACCCTCTCCTCTTATAATTAGGATTGTGAAAGACACGCACACGCTCCTGGATCATGCACAAACCAGTCATGTTCCATTAGAAGGTGTTTTCTTCTTTACAAGAGTCATCATGAGGAACAGAAGTGCTGAAACAACCCAAATTAAACTATCACTCAGTTCACTAAAACTACTTTTGTTTACACGGCACATTGTTGATCATGGACTCTCATTTTTTCTAATAAGGTCAAAAACCGCTCCTATGATTCTGCAGAGATTTATAAATTAGAAATGATTTATGAAATGTATAGAATTACAATAAATGTGACCGTTTAATTAGAATGATTTTTTTCTATAAAAAAAAAAACCTGAAATCATTTGAAATCCCTTTATTTTCATCCAATTACTCTAAATCATTATACAATTCTTAATTACTTGTCTGAACAGCTGTGCTCTAATAAAATAAATGACAAACCACACCGATTACATTCTATAGGGAGTTTATGCATTAGTAGCGAATACACACACACACACACACAACACGTCTGCTTTGGTACAAAGTGCCTGCACTAACAAACAACACAGAACCGCAGCTTGGACGACTCCTTCACACTCCAATTCAACTAAAAGGTGCAGTTGTGAAATTACGTCACTTTAAGCCAGCCAGTGGAGCATTCATACAGATAGCTCCATACTCAATGAAAATAAGCTCTATTAGAATAAATATAAGGAAATCTTGCATATTCATAAAATATACCACTTGGCCCTATTTAAAAGGGATAATTAGGTAATTGCTTGAGCGTATGGGTAGTCAATCACAACACACTGAGCTACTATATTGAAGGATCTTTGAGGCTGTAGGTCTATGGTTACAGTTTAATGTGATCCGTTTTAAATATAATGTATATGATTGTGTTCAGGTCAAGACTATGGAATCACAGGTCTTCACCTTCAATAAATACATTTTTACTTGCAAGACAACTTGGTTTTACACGTGACCGCTTCTTTTAAATGGCAGAGATGTCTTTAGCTCTCAGACGGACGATGTGTTCAAGCTGGCCCGAATCGGACACGTCGTAGCTGGTTTTGTACTTGGCCAGAATCTTCATTAGTGGACGCAGACGGAGCCACCACTGTTCCTTCGGGATCCTGTGACTGCAAATAAAAGGTTGAAACTGTCATTTTAAAATTTGTTTTTTTAAGGGAATTTATATAATGGAAAAAGGATTTGTTTTCCCCCTTGCTCTTTTGAGTTAAAAAGAATGCATGTATTATGAAAAGTCAGAGAGATAACGTAAGACTAAATTATGACTGCGTTTGGTGCAAGAAATTTTTTTAACATTACACCGACATACATGTAACTATTTTTTTTTATTTAATTGTGATTTAATGCAATTTTTTTAATGCTCCAAAGTGTGCAGGGCTGCACTTTTTGGCTAATTTAGTGATTTGTGCACCAACATGACTATAATAAAAAATATTATATTAAGAGAGATTACAATTGTTATATTTCACTATAAAAAAAAGAAATATTTTAATTATTTTTTTTATTTAATTGTGATTTACTGCAATTTTTTTAATGCTCCAAAGTGTGCAGGGCTGCACTTTTTGGCTAATTTAGTGATTTGTGCACCAACATGACTATAATAAAAAATATTATATTAAGAGAGATTACAATTGTTATATTTCACTATAAAAAAAAGAAATATTTTACTAGCATTTAAGAAAAATAACAGTTTTATTGTATAGTACAACTGTAAAATTACAAAACTAATATTCATGGCTGACTTCAGAGGAAAAAGTAAAATGTTACAAAATGAGAGTAGCCTTGGAAACAAATATATCATTATTATGATAATAGAATCAGCTTTGTGAAGCATGTTTGTTAGCATGCGTGTGTGTTCTTACACAAAATCCGTCTCATCCTTCAGCTGTACGACGGGCTGAAAGACCAGAGCCCTTCGCCGCATCCCCAACAAACACGCAGAATCCTCTGTGTTCGCAAACACACGTCCTGCAAAATACACAAAATATGGGATTGAACAGTCTACAAGCAGAGCAAAAAAGCCAAAGGTATAAGCATAATAACATTGCGCTTTAAGTGAACCGAAACAATATAATTTAGAGTTACAAATAACTTACCTTCATCTGAGCCAACCAAGGAAAGCAAAATACAAAGAGCAAAATAAAATAACACTGTGACAGTAAAGACCAAACATTTCTTATATTAACAGATGTTCTTAATATTATGTATATATTTGTTATAAAAAATCATTACAAAAATACAAATATTTTATTAATATTAATGTATTTAATTTATTATTAAATGATTATTATTAATTGTATTTATTTATTATAAAAAATCATTACAAAAATACAAATATTTTATTAATATTAATGTATTTAATTTATTATTAAATGATTATTATTAATTTTATTTATTTATTATAAAAAATCATTACAAAAATACAAATATTTTATTAATATTAATGTATTTAATTTATTATTAAATGATTATTATTAATTGTATTTATATATATATATATATATATAATTTTAATTAATTTAAAACATTATACTATACATATTATATATCTAGCAAAAAATACAGTAAAATCAATTATTAATAAAATATCAAATAAAATTTGTAATATATTTGATATTTAATATTTATCAGCATGTAATTTCCTGCAGCAGTGTTGAATATGTATGTTTTCTGTTGCACTTGTACCTAAGATCAGTTCTGACTTCACACAATCCCAGACAGCATCTTTCTAGCAGTGATTTCTCTTTACCTTCTCTGTAAAACTCTTTGAGCTTCTTGGAGATCCACTGCATGGCTTTAGCTGCGATCTTAGTGCCAAAGTTCCTGTCAAACGGGGAAGGAGCACCACCCTACAAAACATCACAACAAGGCAGATGAACAACATTCTGATCATGTTCTCAACTGCATGTGTGTGTGTGTGTGTGTGTGTGTGTGTGTGTGTGTACCTGCTGCATGTGTCCCAGGACGTTCTTCCTGCAGTCAAAGACTCCTTTGCCCTCTTCATTGTACAGCTGGTAGATGAAGTCAGTGGTGTAGTTTTCACTGCAGTTCTCATTCCTGTAACACACACAAACACAATCACACCTCACTGCTTCTACACATACAGAACTACATGAATGAATCCAGTGTATTGATGCTCTATGTAGGATATCTAGATCATACCTGAGCACTAAACCTCTCTGGATGCTGGTCTTCATCTTCTCAGTTAAATGTTCAACGTTAGACTGAAAAATAGAGCACTCATAAAAACTCAGCATGACGCTGATGTTCTCTCTCTCTTTCCTTAAATAGTACACACTGCTAAATATTCCTGCCTGCGTGTGGGACGGAGCAGACAGAGGACATGAAGAAGGGTACACTGTAAGGCCTGTGTCTGACAGAAGAGGGCAGACTTGACCTTTTACCCTCATCTATTAAGAAGAATTGATTCCACTTTAGCTACTGCATGGAATACTGGCTAACTAACTACTTAGTATTATGCAATTTTTTTCTTATTTAGCAAAGATGCATTAAATAGATCAAAAGTGACTAAAGATGTTATAAAAGATTTCTATTTGAAAAATGCCGTCATTTTGAACTTTCTATTGATCAAAGTTGCATCATGGTTTACACAAAAATATGCAGCACAACTGTTTTCAACATTGATAAAAGTAAGAAATGTATCTTGAGCAGCAAATCAGCATATTAGAATGATTTCTGAAGAATCATGTTGACACTGAAGACTGAAATAATGATGCTGGAAATTCAGCTTTGCATCACAGGAATAAATTACACTTTAAAATATATTACAATAGAAAATTAGAAAACAGAAAATAAAAAGTTATTTTAAATGGTAATAATTTTTCATAATATTACTGATTTTACTGCATTTTTGATCAAATAAATCCAGCCTTGGTGAGCATAAAAGGCTATTTATTATGCATGTGAAATGCAAATGTTCAATGCAAATTATGGGTAAAAAAATAACATTTTAAACATTATTTCACATAATTTCAGTCACCATTCAGTTCATCAGCAGAAAAAAAAAAAGAAGAAAAGTGGTGGTTATGGTTATGATGCGTTGATATTTATGCCATGGTACTGAATGATTACCATATTCATATTCGCCATATTTATGACACTCCAAGGTACTTTCTTCACAGAATACCTTGGTACATGTCTAAAAAAAGTTTTCGTTTTAGTACATGTTTTGTTAGTGATGTGTTTGCCAATGTAGGTCACAAGATGAATCTATATATAAATGCAGAGCTATATTCAGTCACCTTGTCCATTCCACACAATTACACTGCAGGTGTACACTGCAAACTATACATACATGCATATATACTAATATATATATATATATATATAACTATATATAATAGTAAGGTACAGTGTCTCTCACCTGTAGTTCTCGGATGTCAAACGGCTCTTCATAGATATAGGCTGCATCCGCTCCGGCCGCCAGCCCACCCACCGTCGCCAGGTAACCACAGTAACCTCCCATCGTCTCAATGATGAACACGCGGCGCTTGGTTCCACTGGCCGACTGCTTTATACGATCACACGTCTGACACACATTTTAATAGTTAAAGACTGAAACATATCTGTTATCACACTCAAGCACAAGACAGTACAGTTCTGACACAACCGTAAACGCTCAGACATACAGGATATTACACAGGTATAGAAGCATGGTCCAAAATTAACCAATGGCGGGTAAATAATTTTATTTTAATTTTTTATATTTGTTAAACTTTTTGGAAACAAATTAAAAAAAATTTTTTTTTTCAAGATTTCATTTTTCAATATTATTTCAACTGAATTATTTTGTTTGTTTGTTTTTGTCCCTGTGCCAAATAAATGATTTAGCAGTCACAAATGTCATGGAAGATGTAATTATACATGTGACTACAGCAAGTATTCAAACTATTATTAACTTAACTTGCACCATCTATAATGTTGCATGTTTTACTCACAGTTGGCGCTTGTTGAGTGTTAATTTTGGACCTGTGTGCAAGACGTCACATACAAGCACAAGGCACAATGTAGTTCACAATAATAGAGGACATGCATGTGGTTTCAACACATTTTAGGTGCAGTTCTGACACAACCGTAAACGCTCAGACATACAGGATATTACACAGGTATAGAAGCATGGTCCAAAATTAACCAATGGCCAATGGTGGGTAAATAATTTTATTTAAATTTTTTATATTTGTTAAACTTTTTGGAAACAAATTAAATATATATATTTTTTTCAATATTTCATTTTT